TGGTAGTGACGGTGGTGGTTGTGATGGTGGTGGTGTTGCTAGTAGTGGTAGTGGCGGCCAATTATCACAAAGAAGGTGTGAACTCATGGTGGTGGTGGTGGTGGTGTTGCTGGTGGTGGTGGTGGGTGGCGGAGCCTCGGTGGTGAAGGCGGCCGCCATGGTGGACGTCGTGGAAGTTGGATCAGGTGCGGTCGGAGAGGGAGTGGTCGATTTTCTCGGACTGACGCATTGAATCCGGTGATGTCCTACGTGCCTGATTTGTGCCTCTAAATCAGCTGGGCCGGATGGCATACCGCCCAAATTGTTGAAGGAGCTCCCTAGAGAACTATTTAAACCGCTCTACATGCTCGTCCAAGCTTCGTTCGAGGCAGGCTATTTGCCCACCAATTGGAAATCTGCATGGATCACGCCAATTTATAAAGGCGGCAGCAATGTCTTAGCAGTCTGCTACAGACCAATCAGCCTTATTTCAATTTGCTGCTAAATTATTGAAAATATAACCAAGCTCTAACTACTGCACTTCCTAGAAGAGCATAATCTGCTATGCGATGTCCAGCACGGATTTCGTAGAGGCAGACCATGCGTGACGAACCTACTTTATTGTTTAGATCGCTGGACCCGGACAGTCGATGTCGGCAATGCAGTGCACGCAGTCTACGTCAACTCTAAGAAAGCATTCGAGAGTGTACCACATCAGCGCCTCCTGTACATATTAAGCCGAACAGGCATTAGGGGTAATCTCCTGAGGTGGATCCAAAGCTTCCTGACCGGTCGCTCTCAAATTGTCCATCCACGTCGGTGACAGGCAGCATTCAAGTGCAAGCACCATAACACTCAGCTATTAGCGGAGAGAGGCATAGGTTGACACACAGACAGTCGCAGCAGGCATCGAGAGTTTCATCTAGCTATTAACAAACAGACTAACATATAGTGGGCAGGCAGCAAGAGCAGCACGCGGCACGGAACTTCAACGGACACAAGGAAGAAACAAAGTAAATTCACTTACCTGAAGAAAAACTTACCTGGTGGCCTCCTGCCATGGTCCAGGCAGAGCATCGTCTCGACGAAGTCGACGCGAAGATCCATCCGGCCAGCGCAAACCACATTACCGCACGTGCAGGTGCACGCAAGGATACCCTCACCTGGTTTAGCCCGCCGGTCGAGGCGGCTGCCCGGGGTGTGGCCGCTGAGCAGAGCCCAGCTACGTGGAGCCACAGGACGCTAGGCGTAGTCTCACCTGCAAGCAAGTGAGCGACCAACACGACCATCACGTGAACCCACCGCTGACACCCCTACACCCCACACACACACACACACACACGACAGTTCGACCATCGATTTCGATGATGTCCACCGTGTGCCCAACAGACTGCATTGTGGGAGCAGGGACGGTGACTTACGCAGGGGTTTATAGTGCTGGTAGACATGCGTAGCATCTACCTACACTCTCTCCTCCTCCCCCACCTGGGCCCGGTGTCAAGACCAAGTCAAGAAGACCGGAGACGAGGGAGGCCGCAGGTGGATGGCTCGGACGGATCCTCGCCTTGGCGCTCCACTCCGCACCCCTGGTACACACACAAATGACCGGGATTGTGACCAACACAACAGAGATTTGGAGGCTGGCACGGCCGAAGCCGCACCTGGGCGTGCCGCCGACGCCTGGCTAGGATCCCACACTGTGGTTGGAGTGCCATAAAGGCCACATTAAAAAGGAGCCATTGCAGCCTGACTCTCAGACCGCCTCCCGTTAAGGAGGAGGTCCAAGGTACCCCGTCAGTTGGCAACCTTCCAAGCCACGGCTTTTAGCGCACCGTGATAGCTTCAAGCGCGTCAGATTGTTTATAGTGAGGAGAAAGTGCGCTGAGTCGTCGACCTCGCTCGCCCTTCCCATTCCCACACCCCATCCGCTGTCCGAGCCGGTCAGCAGACTGGAGTGGGAAATGGACGCGGTGGCTGACACGGTCGACGGACCATGACTGCGCGCGCCACAGCACGACCTGGCCCCCCATACTCACAAACATCAGGATTTCACACAACGAGGGTTGAGCGGCTTGTCTCTCACTTGCGTGAGAGGGCCGTGGAAGGTGCTGTTTCAGCCCATCCCCAGCCCACCAGTCCGCCACTACACACAACACACACACACACACACACAACGCGACGAACTGCGTGGACCGAGAGCGGGCGGCAATTATCAACCTTCCTATCCACGACGCATGACGTGTCGGGATAGTCTCGGGCTTGAGTCACCCGTGCAGCCGAAGCCGCATGGGGACCGAGTCGAGATGCACACTTCTCACTTGCGTGGGAGTTGGCAGTTGAGTGCATGAGGTGTGTGAGTGTTGATGTCTGGTGGGATGATGGTGGAGGAGGGTATGGAGTGTGTGAATGTGTGGTGTAACCGGCGGTGGTCTACCGCAGGTCGTCGTGGAT